TGTCGATGCTATCTGGACTGGCCGGCCTGCTTGGCCTGCTCCGCGTCGTCGTCGTGAGGGTTCGGGACGTGTCGTGACTGGGGCGGCTTTGGCCGAGCCCCTGGCCGAGGCTTTGGCTTTCGGAAATGCTTTCAATTTCCCCAGCAGGGACGACTGGATTGAAACAATATTGGTTGGGCTGGTGTCATTTGGCGTTAGGCAACGTTTCCACAGCTTTGTCAATCTTTTTTTTTTCGTGGATTTCCATCGCTGTAGTCACAACATGGTGCTCGTTTGTTACTTACTTGTTCTGCGGACACATTTTGGAAGTGGACGGTGGCCTCCTTCGTGCTGCGGAGCTGCTTGTGGCAATTGGCGTCGCTTGCCTGCCGAGCCTGGCCAGCCTCCCGCCGCAGCCTTTCTCGCCACCTCATAGTCCTCATGGCCCCACTTTGCCGGCAGTGGAGTGCTCATGGCGTTTCTCACGCCGGGATTGGTCCGCGTCCAAGGCTGCCAGCCAATGGGCGAGCGTGTCTCGCCGGCCCCATGCCCCATCGGGGCCATAAACACCAGCATTTGCTCTCCCCTTGCCCCCGCCCAGCCTCCTGCCCGGCGGAGCGGCCAAGCCGCCTCGCCGCGCCTCGCCGCCGAGCCGTGGGACGGTTTAAACACCAATTATCGATTCTAAGCTGGCCTTATACGCGCGAGGCGCGGCGCAGCGAGTCGCCGATTGGCTGGAAACGGGTAATAAAAGTATCGAGAAAATGAGAAAAAGAGCTGTGCAGCGACGGTGCAGCGCGGCGCGGCACGGCACACTGCGCGGCGCGATACGGCCAGGGTAATGACTACCTTTGCGGAGGTCAGGCGCAGGCACGGTGTGGCGTACGCGTCATTACATATACCACATGCATACCTCGATGTGTCTGTGTGTGTGTGTCGGCGCGGAGAGTGGTATCAAACATGGTGTATACCGAAGAGTTGAAGTCGTTCGGTTGTATAATTCCTCCTCGAAATGGCTGCGGCTATCTCTTTCCCATCGCGTGTTCGTTTCTTTCTCCGTCTCTGTCGCTCAATCGCGCACTCACAGACAGTCACACACACACACTTGCAGGCACGCCGCGCCCCCATTGGTATGCACCTGGCCCCGCCCCGACTGCATGTAAGTTGCTCAGACAAAGGGCCGCATTATATGACCCCGGAGCCCCATCACCCGGGAAGGCGGGGGAAAACGACAGTTGTGGGCATTGTTTTGCTCGGGTGGACCAGAAATCGGGGTTTCAGTTCGGTCAGGTTGTGTTGGGTTAGGTGAGGTTATGTTCGGTCAAACCAGAGAGAAATGCGGTGGAGCTTTTTGAACAACGGCGTGTGGAGTGGTGTGGCGAGAGTCATAAAGTCGGACTGGGAGTGGACTGCAGGCAGACAGCACGACACTCTCGGACGGAATGCGCGTTGCCCGCGGCCACACGCACACTCGCGCCGTGTAGAGATTGAGAAAGGGAGAGAGAGACAAAAGAGGTGCAAGCGAGCCTCGCCCACTTTGCATTCTTAACCGCCATTGGCTGTTGGATGCGACACATTCACTCATGTACTCGTCATTGTTGCCTCTGTGTGCGTGCGCGGCGTGCGGCCGCACGAGGAGCATTGCGCACTGCAAGACACAAAGACATGGTGCATCGGCCACGTGCGGTGTCCCTGTCTCTCCAGCCAGAGAGACTGTGCTGAGGGAAGGGAAGGGAAAGGTGCGTGCGCCATGGAGTCTCTATCATTTGGTCCCTTTCTCGATGAAAGCGAACAAACGGACAAATCATTTTTGAAACCTGACGGTCACGCATTGGTGGCGCGAGACGTGTGAATACATGAAGTCATTGTTTGTGCAAAAGTTGTTGTTTTCGTTCTTCACGCCGCTGTCGCAACTTAACTTCGCGTCAGAATGTTGCGGCTCCTCGAGGCACGTCTTTACGACGTCGTTGTGACGCGTCCTCGGGACTTGCAACCCGTCGGAGGGGCAAAATCACACAACATTGTAAAGCTTATCTCGTTAAGAGGCATTAGAGGCCTAATACGTGTCGGCCGGGATGGTCTTAATTTCCTCCCCCGACGCCATAGAGCTGTCCATTACCGCGCTGCAATGCATACAACAGGCCTGCTTAGGCAGGCGCAGCAGGCCCGCCTCGCGAGGCGGGATGCGCACCTCGTAAACAGCCGAGTGTCGGTGGATTAATAAAGGGGAAACAATCAGAGGAAGGTTCAACGTACGGGGGGCACCACCAGGGGAAATCCACGGGCAGAGTCCAACAAGTGGAAACCAAGGCGGAACTCAAGTCAACGTGCGACATCACTCTTTTTCGATTTGGCTGTTCTTTTTGAGGTTTCCAGTTGCTCCTTGGTGCGGGCTAATCATTGCTTCGCTAGAGCTTGACACAAGGGCCAGTGTTGATATAGAAGCGGAGCTCCACCTTTGAGGATGGTGTGCTCTAAGAACTGAACGCTCTAAACTGACGAACTTGATCATAAACCGGCATAACCATTGTTCCTCTTTGTTTGAAAGAACACACCGAGGTATACCTGTCCGTTGCTCTTCCAAGTAAGATCCCTCTCACAGATCGTGACTACAGTCACGCCAGGCATCACGCTATCGGGCAGGAAAGTTATCATCCCGAAACGAAGGGCCGTCCAAATGCCGTCGTCAAGTTTGCGAAAGCGACTTGTCACGTCGGTTCCAAGGCAACGGGTTTCTCGGAAATCTCGTAAAAGCAAGCGTGGCTCTTATGGCACGAACTTCCATTAAATGAAGTCGCGGCCACCTGTTACCGACTGAGCAGTGTTCAACTAAGTCGTAAAACAAGTGTCGGCGTGTCACTGCAGTGTGACTGTTATGTCCTTTCTTGGAAATCATATCCACTGGCGATTGCGACACACTAGCACCATGCTTGTAATGACGTTGGGTGCACCTGACCCTACAGGTTGCTGTTCGCTGATTGGCAAGCGCGTCCACTAACTTGGAGTTATTGGTGCGGCGTGCGCTGCACTGAGACCCGTGACTCCGCGGTAGCGCGGCACCCGTGGTGTGAACGGACAGTGTGCCTGCACGGAACATAACCTCAAACTAGCCGTCATCACGGAGTGGCCTGGGCAGCCCAACGGACCGCGTCACGACCGCTACCGGGCCTATTTTGGCGCCCGATTCGGCAGAGTAGGCGCAGTTTGAGCGTCGCAGCGGCCACCTGTGTGGCCACTTATGCAAACCAAGTCACTCTCAAGTGGCGAGGAACAAGCAGGGCGTCAAGCACTTCATCTATGTTAATGGTTGAAAAGCTGCCTAAAAACTACATCCTTAAAAAAAACCATTTTCGTTTCTGTTTATGCTTCTCCATCTTTCGACAGTTGGAAATGAAGCACATTGAGATTTGTGGGGTGTGTCCGACCGGACGCTCAGACAGACAGAGACAGACAGACAGACGGTCGTGGTGCGACATGCGGTTCAGTCACGTACGGACTGCTTCGACTGCTTCGCCTTGCCAGAGCCTCGCATTACCGAAGGCTAACTTTTCATTACGTTCATTGAGGGGCGTTCGCTTTCGGAACAGAAATGACACGCGGGATGATGGCTGTGCTTTGGGCCGTGCCCGCAGGGCTCTGAGTCACCTGCTGCAAGCGGCCAACCCCGTCAAACATTCTGTTTTCCGGTTTTTTAAAGTTTTTAAATCTTTTTTGTTGTGTTTAAATTTAGAAATCTGCTTTTTATCCTTCGAAGTTTGAAAATCTTAACAAGTCAGCATGGTCGATGAGCCGTCTGGTTTTTGACGATAAGATGATGCAGTCCCCGCGTGAAACGTGTGAGAAAGAGAAAGACTCGCCTGTCGGTAAAAACAACACGTCGCACCCCCGCCGGACGCCGCGGCAGGGGCTGCGAGTGCTGTGGGGCCCAGGGGGCGGTACGGGCCGGGGTCGGCGCGCCGGCTCGGTCCAAAGGAGGCTGGGGCGTGGCGAGGCGGGGCGGGGCGCCGGGGGCCAGGCCTTTTGGGCGAGGCGGTGCGCGCGGCGCTACTGTCTTTGAGCAGCTCAGCCGATGAGCTCCGTTCAGTTTCATTGTCCACCGTGACTCAGCTTCGGGCTGCCCAGACTGCCCAGGCATGCCGCTCCCGTACCGGCGGGGCGGCGGGGCGGTTCACACCTCTCGTTGTGGCGCGCTACCCGCGTCGCTCTGTCTCTCTCGCTCCCTGCCGGGGCGCCACACGAGTGCGACAGAGGCAGAGCAATGCCTGTACGCACTCATTACGCGCTTTTGCGGGCGGAAGGCGTCGGCCCACCGAATTACACCGCCAGTAGTTACCCTGCCGGAAAGGCGCAGGAGACTGACTTTGGCTGAGGCCGACTTCGTCCTTCTCGCTCGCTCCCTTCACCCGTCCAGCCTATCCTGCCGGGTCAACAGCTCTGCCCCTCGCGGGGTGTAGTTTGCGCGCCACTTCGCAAGGCGTGGTATGAGCCGGTGAGCGTCCTGGTGAACTCTGCAGAGCATCCAACGGGCTGCCGCGAGGCGTCGCAGAGTCAGTGGCAGTGTGACGCCGTGTCGCCCCGCCGGAGGATTGCCCGGCTTCCCTGTTTGCTACAATGTATTGTTCTCGAGGACTGAGCGCTGGCCGGCTGGCCGTCTGGCCGACTGGCCGCGCGCCAGACTCCTTGTCAACACGTCTCACTGTCCGCGCTCCCGATGGGCCGATGGGCGCGACGCGGTGACGTCACGGGATCGATGCCTCACGCCTCCGGACAAGCTCCGGTCTCGCTGCAGCCCGGCTCGGCTAGGCTCGGCCCGGCTGGATTGGCGGCGGGGCCGGGGCGCGCGCCGCCCCCCATTGGCGGAGGCGGCGGTGGTGGGGGTGGCGGGGCGGCCGGCGCGCGCTGCCATTGGTCCGCCGCGTCCTGCACCCCCCACCCCCGGCGTCGGCGCCGCCCGCCGCAGGACCAGCCGAGCGCGCCGCTCGCCTGGCCACGGCCGCCGCGCGCTCAGTCTGGTTCGGCTGCCGGTCGGAGCAGTGCGCGTAGCAGAGTGAGCAGAGTGCGTCGCCGGCCGCAGGGTTACGCGAGTTAGTGAGTGATGTGAGGTTGGTGACAGTGTGAGTGAAGTGACAGTGCTGTGCTCGACCTGAGGATTGAGGATTACCGCCGTGGACTCGCCGCGCCCTCGTTCATGGTGACCGAGGTGGCTTCCAAGCTGCAGCCGAGCGCTCTGGAGGCTTTAGGGGCTGGCACCGGGCGTGGAGCCATGACCATCCACGACCTCGCCGTCACCACCACCAAGCTGCTGGGCCCGGGGCCCGCGCCGGACTCGACCGAGGCGCTGCACCACCACATCACCATGCAGTCCCTGCACCACCCGGCCATGCTGCCGCGGTCCAGGTTCATGATCACAGACATCCTGTCCAACAACAATAACAACAGTTCGAGCGACAACAACAACGGACTGCGGTCGCCGTGCTCGTCGCCGGCCTCGGTGTCGTCGGACGGGCCCAGGGACCTGTCGCTCCATGCGCGCGACGCCGACCCCCACGGCGACGCCGACCTGAGCGACGACCACGAGGAGTCCGGCACCGACAGCGGGCTGCCCGGGGAAACGTCGTCCGTGTGCTCCAACGGTGAGTTTCCCATCGGCCGGATGTCAGTTGGATGGATGCGGTCAGCATTCGTCACCCTCCGCGGCCAGAAGGCCTAATCGCTGGCTGCCCTTCGCCCTGTAGCCCTTATTCCCTCCAGCCCCTCCAGCCCTCCAGCCTGTACTGCCGGCAGTCCTTCAGTCCTTTTACTCGGGGGCGACACTCCACGGTGTCACTGCGGCCCTTCACGGAGCCGCTTCACTTTTTACGGCCTTGCCTGCAGCGCGGCGTGCTTCGCGGCGTGCTTGCACAGGTGCCAACGCGTGCACTGCTACAACCACGAACTGTTGATCCAACGGGCGCCTTCCGTTGTTTTCGCGATTATCGAAAAACACTTGCCTTGTTGGGCCGGCAGATCGCTGTTTCATCATTCGCCTTCGACATGACATGTCACCTGGGGCCATCTTATCAAGTGTGGCCAACTGATCACGAGGGCGACGCGAGCCGAAACCGCCCCGCGGCCCTCCGTACACGTGTACTGCCGAAGACTGTCGAATGGGGCAGCCTTGATTGTTGCCGCGTTGTTGACACAGTTGAGTCACCGAGCGGCCACCGCGTTCTCCGAGCCCTTCCACGCCACGCCGATGCACGTTTTGCAAAGCACACCTACCTCCGTCGAGGAGGGAAAGGAGAGGCGGGGCAAAAAGTTGATCCGATAGTTGTCGTTTTTTCCCGGTCTGCTTGTCTGCTGGCTTTTCAATCACCCGTTTTGTTGGGCGGTCGGACGAGCGGAACCGAGCTGCTTTTTTGCTTTCTGCCGCTAACAAGTCGCATTCCCAGCCGGTTCAGCAGCACTTCCTTTTTAACTAGTTTCTCCGGCGCCATCTTGAACGCAACGCTCTTCATTTGGATTTGTCACCGCGCGATTTTCGATGACGCGCGAAATTGCCGAAATGGAATTTGTATGGATCCGAGACATGGGTGGGTCACACTCTTCTCGTTCGTCCATGAATCCTAAAATAGCGTTCCCGTGTTCGAACGCGGCACGCGGCCCGTCGAGCAATCGAATAAACCTCGGCAAAATCGTGCGTGCGATATGGACACTGAGCACGGCGTCCTGGTTGGGGCTTCGGCCAGAAAAAAAACAACAAAAAAAAACAGAAAAGCGGCACGGAAAACTGTGGAATCAAGGTAAAGGGCGCGCGCGTGTTCGTTGACAAAACACGCACGCACGCGGCTGATTTGACAAGATGCGCCAGATTGGCTGCGCGTTCCGTTTTCCGACCATTGTCCTGAAACGCAGGCAAAGCCCACAGCCACAACGAGGTGCTCAAAAATGCCCACCGCGATCTCCATCGCGCCGCTATGCGCTTTCGTGTGCAGTGTGGCGGCGGTGGCCGTCGGCTGGAGTGGCAGCCGAAAGACCGAACCGCAATATGTGTTCCCCGCGGCACAAATCGCGGCGACAGATTTCGATTCGTTTTTCCCAGAACCGTCGCGTCGTCGTGAGGCCCCTTGAATGTAGCGCGACAGACTGGCGAGACGCACGTGTGGCGTCGCGGCGCCCCTCACACACACACACACACTCACACGCACACGCACGCACACGGGGGCAGACACCGTGATGGATATCAAAAGGCTATTTTGACGGTGTCGGAGCTATTAAGCATTCGTCACACACGTTATTGTTCACATATGGCGTCCGTCGTCTGCTGCGCCGGAATGGAAACTCATTTTCGGCAAGTTGGGTGTACATTAAAAAAAGAAAAAGAAAAGGTTTCGAAAATAAAAACGGTGAAGGCCGAACAGCAGCGCGGTGGCGGCGTCCTCGGGGGGCTCCTTTGACGATGGGGCCCCCTGCGGCCCTACCGTGGATGGACTGTGACGGACACACGCACACACACACTCACACACTCACACACACACACAGTGAATTAAGGCCGTTCTCCTCTCGCTTTGATTTCTTATTCGCCCGCTTTGGTTTCGTCCTGATCCGTTCCGGCCGCAGCCGATGACCTCCCTCCTCCTCCTCCTCCTCCTCCTCTTCTTCTTCTTCTTCTTCTTCTTCTTCTTCTTCTTCTTCTTCTTCTTCTTCTTCTTCTTCTTCTTCTTCTTCTACCTCTTCTTCTTCTTTTACCTCTTCTTCTTCTTCTTCTCGTGGCGCGCGCGGCCTGGGCGGCGCTGGGCGGTGGCGCGAGGAGGATGAGGCCCTTCTGGTGGAGTTCCTCCTCTCCGGGGCCCTCCGCTGGAGTCCGCTGGAGGAGGCGGAGAATACTCGGAAGCGAGAGTAAACACCGCAGGCGCTCTGAATCTCGGCGAGCGCTGATGACCGGCCGGCCGGCGGCAGCGAGACGAACTCCTGAGTCACGGGCGTCCGCCCCGCCCCGCCCCGCCCTCATCAGGCCGCTGGCCGCTCATTTCGCGCGGACGTTATGGCCGCCAGCTTCCGACTATATGCTCGCGCCGCATAGGCCGAACATCGCCCCGTCTCTCTCGCTCCCCCGGGGGACGGCGGCGACGGCCCGCGAGTGCGAGAGAGACGGAGCGACGCGCCGCTTTGGGCCAGTTTGCTCTGTTTACTCGGGGTTGTCACGACACTGTCACGACCGTCCTCGGCCGTCGCTCCGTAATCGAGATGGCGCTTCCATCATCCACCTGTCGGAAGCGGGCGAAGCGGCACGGCACGGCGTGCGCGTCGCGGCCATGCGGCCCTGCAGGCCCTGCTCGCCGCGCCGTCCACTGGCGTAAAAGCCGCGCTGCGCTCGCTATGCGCTCCGCGCTGCTTTGATAATTGTATTACTTTAGGACGGCATCAGGACCGCGGCTGGGACGGCAGATAGCCACGCCACTTCCGGTGGCGTATCGCGACCAATCCAGGCCAGCGTGCCTCAGCAGGCTTCGCCTCGCTCGCCTCGCCGTCAAACTGCCTCCGTTTGACCTCCAGGCGTCGCCGCGTCGCCGCGTCGCCGCGTCGCCGCCCCGCCGCCCCGCCGCTGGAGGCTGGCCGCGCCGCCAAGGCCCGTATCGCCAGCCGGGGCAATCTGCGCCCACACCCTGAAAAAAAACAAGAAAAAAAACAGACGTTTTTAAAAAATACAGATTTTTCTTGGAATGAGGTCTCTCTCACTCTCGAGGGACGGTCCGCCGGGGGGGGAGGGGGGTGAGAGAGAGACACAGCGACGACACCGCGACATCCCCTTTGCACTTCGGGTGTGTGCGCACGACGCAGACGACGGCGTGAACGTGACTACCTCGTAGAGCACGACCGTCCAGCTACACCTCCTTCGTCGCTCTGTCTCTCTCGCGCCCGCGGGTCCCCCCGGAGGGGTGCGAGAGAGACAGAGCGGCAGCCTGTCGCGACGACGGCCACCACTTTGAGCACCGCGCCGCCACGGCACTGCCACGCCACTGCCACGCTGCTACCGACTTGCCTAGAAGCAGTGCGCCGCCAGGGCATCGTTTTCCGGCTCGACTCACACCCACACACACGCAAGCCGCCCGCGCTCACACACACACACACACACACACACAGCGAGCGCTGATAATCTTTAGTGCGCTGTTTTGTCTGCGTCCGCGTTGCGCTTTGCTGCAAGTTAAAAGCGTCCAGCAAACTGTTAAAAGGGTTATTCACTCCAAGTTTTTCCGGCCGATAACTCCACGCGCGCGCGCCACCACGTTCGGTGCGGTCGCCATGGAAACCAAGCGTTGCGCACACTGCAAAAGAAAACAAGGGAAAACCGGGGCGTCAAAAAATGGAGAGGCCTGAGTGAGTCTGTCTGTCATTCGTCGAAATGGAGGAGCGCCGGTGATTATGATGATATTCGGAAGCGGACGACGCGTTGCGATACGGGGGGGAAGTTGTCGCGAAAATACCGGTTGGCTGCCTCTTAAACGCGCCGCCTAAACGACCACTTCCGGCCGCCGCTCCGCCGGACGTGCCCACACTGTGAGGCCGGAGCTGTGTGGATACACTGCCAAGGCGCAGCGCGCGGCAGCACGCGGAGCGCGGGGCAGAAGGCGCGCGCACAATGAAGACAACGCAAATAGGAGTCCGACTGGCGTGCTCGCTTCGTGATTAGAGTCATTTTTCTGGTGTACGTGTCTTGCTATTGGCCGCAGACATTGACGGTCTGACTGTCACACGGCTCACTCACACACTCACACACACGAGCGGGTAAATGATAACTTTGTATCCATCTCTCAGCCCACCCGGCCACACAGCCAAGCCCGGCCAAGCCCTATTGCATTCCCCCTGTATCAAGTGTTGCCACCTGATCTGCCATTCATGTGTGAACGTGCCCCCCCCCCCTCCCCCCCGGGCCAGGCGATCGAGGCCCCCGGGGCGGTCATCCTTCGAGGTACTACTGCCTCCATTCATCTGAAATCTCGACCGGTGTGCGGCGATTTGACTCGTCGCTCCGTCTCTCTCGCACTCCATGAAGTGCCCCGTTTAGGTGCGAGAGGGACGGAGCGACGAAGCGACTCTCAGAATGAGTCTACTGGCCGGCAGTGGAAGGTCCGCTTGCACGGCTTGCACTCGCCGCGCGCCATTCCCGCAACGATCTATGCCCCTAATTTGACAGGTGGGTCCGAAATCACAGGTTCGGATCCCCGCCGCTCCCCGCCGCCGTGGTGGAGGGGCGCCGCTTTGAGTTGACGCCGGTCCGAGCGGACGGACGGACGGACGGACGGACGGACGGACGCGCGCAAGGGACTAAATTGCGAGTGGATGCGGTCAACACACAACACACTCCGACAGGTAGTCGAGGAGTGGAGGGGCCTGGAGGGGCCTGGAGGGGCCGGCACTCATGGCACTCCCTACTACTTACTGGCGAGTAATAGTGCCATTACCACCACCAAAGTGGCCCGCGGCCCGCCAACGTACCCGCGCGACCAACCTGCAAAAAAAAAAATTAAAAAAAAAAATAAAACCGTTATAAATTGAACAAATACTTCCCACTTTCTATTTCTGTCATTTCTTTTCTCGAAAGAATAATCGAATGAGTATCGCGTGCTTCCAATTGATCGGTCTGTGCCGACGA